TATATATATATATATATATATATATATATATATATATATATATATATATCGGGTTTGCGATCAAAACTGGCGTCAACGCGACAGCAATGAAAATAGAACGAGAGATCGGAGTACCAGTGAGAAAGATTTGGAAAGAGCAACTGCAGGGAAGTAGGAGGGCAAGGAAACGGTTTTGTTTGTAATAATGCGAATAACCAGCTCAGACAATTCTTAAAAATTGCCAAACAGCACTCCTCTGTTCACATAAGTATAACGAAAAATTCTAATTTGCATTGCTTGTTCATTTCAACTATGCAGTCCGGTGTACCACTAAAATTGCATGTTTACGTTCCCTGTGATCAGTTTCTCAGTTCACAGAGATCACTCTCAAATGTGCACAACAACTTCTCAGTGAACTGACAGACGCGGTGCAGCATTGTGACGAGCCGAAATGGAATTTAAATGCACAACACTTCTCGGCAGACGAGTGGCGTGCCACTTGGACTAGCTGATCGGTACCGGTGATTCGTCATGTGCCTTTCGTTTTCTTATGGTTCTTGATCTCTCCTTTTTATACTTTTTTCAATTTGGTGTGGTGCTTTATTTGAAAAATAAAAGAAATACACCGTACTATTGTGCACATAATTGAATACAAATGGAGCGACGGGAGATACTTGATGTGGCCCTTTTTACACATGATATAATATGGATGATTATTATGAAGCTCATGAGTTGGTATACAGTTACCTCGCAAACGATGACAGTGCTGGAGGCTGTGGTCGGTTGTGGATTGGTTATTGCTCTTTTCTGCGAAATAAGGCAACAGTATGTAGACCGTTTTGCGCTTGGCGACTGCAGTTTGCCTCTGCTCCATCTACTCAACGTGGTTTTCTGCAAGAGTCGGATGAATCGCTCAGGTCATCAGCTCGTCTAAAATATTTCCACCTGCATTTTAAGGTTCGCGTAGAACGCTTTGCAACGGTGATTTATTCGTATATAAACATACTGCGAGTTAAATGAAACTTATCAATCCAGCCTAGTACGTTTGTGGTAAGTTAGTCCGTAGCCTCCGAAAGCCTCAGTATGATCAGGGTGGGTGTCTCGGGTTGTGACCAATCACCATTCCCTTACCTCGCGAAATGCTCCTATATGACCAAACGTCTCAAATAGCCTCTGCTGAGAATGCCTCCGCGTGGCGGAGGCGTTTTCCCACCAAAATGAGAGGACGCAAAGCCAATAATCTGGTTGGTAAATCATTGGCAGTTTACCTAGGGGACTAGGCTAAAATCCCTAAATCCAAATCAACCAAGACGAGGCGTATAAACCACACGCACACCCTCCTGGTTGTAGTCACCGGCTCTATTGGACACCTTGGACGTCTGACCCCGTCCAACGGGCCCATGATCCGACGAACTGGACTCTGAGCTCCGTCCTGTTGTCTTGCAGGTCCGGCTTTTTAGACTACGGTTTCGGGTGGGGACCCCGAAGTTTCCCTCCTTCCTCGGCCAGGGTAACCGGGAAGTAATATGCCCACACAACCTATGAGCATAATCCACCGTTTTTTTGTTCACGTATCACATTTGCCAGTTCTATGTAATTGGTTACGTGTTGAATTAATATAATAATAAATAACTGGCATGGAACAACTGCTTGGTGGGTGGCTTTCGATTGGAGTTAACAGATAGTCAGCTGTGTCTCCCTTCGTTGCTGTCGGGCCAAAACTGACTGACTATCACTGAAGACGACACCTGAACGGACACCCATTGGCAATTCGGTATGAGCTAGTTGGCACAATGGCAACATACACTCCTTCCATACAATGGGTCCGGAGTTCAAAGCCCGGACGAGACAATGGATATGCACTATTGATGATCTCTAATAAGAGCGAAACTAGAGTCTAGTGCTTCTGAGTGTATGGTTGACTGGATGAACTGAGGATTGTGCTTGAATGTGACTTCCGAAGGATAGTCAGCTCAAATAAATATCAGTTATTCCACACGACTACTCACAAGTGACTGNTGACTGAGTCAATTGCAAATACTGGCGTTTTATTTTTTTCTTTGTTCGATTTCGCTCCCATACAATTCATGCATACCAACTCTCACCAAGTCCGATTTCAGCTGTGCAATATCTACTTCAAAGTTCTCATAGACAACGCTACAAAAACGCTCTGGGCTAGCACAAATTATTCTCTGCTATGCATCGTGTTTCCTAGATGACTACTCGTTTTCCTTTGCAAACATGCCTATTACATATGAGGAAGTTGTTTCTTTTAAACTCCCATCCGTAACCGATCGCTGCGGTTAACTGGCAAAAATCTTTCACGACGATATCGCTCGGATGAGGGAGGTGGTCTGTTTATGCTCCCCTTCGGACTATCATGTGACTATCGAGTAGCTAATAATAAGTAGTGGTAAAACCAATAGTCGGATCCACAGTAAAAAAATCTGTATAACAGCAACAACAAATAGTATGATAACAATAGTAACGATAAGTCAATCAGTGAAATGGAGCTTAATAAGTGTGGATCTGTTTTATAACAAAAGAGCACATCACGACAATATGTGCACCACTAAATAAGACCCCTGATAAACATTTTCCATCACAGCAGCAAGCGCCGAAGGTTCTCTTACTAGGAATTATACCATTAAAATGTCCAGTGGCGATTTGCACTCGACAATAATATGCCGGAACAAACGTACGTCTGCCTTTTGCAATCAGAGCAATAAATAATATCCCTCCATTCGCATTCCTGGACCTGAATCAAATGACGGCATTCACCCAGGCGTTGTTTTCGGAGTAGTGAGTTGTCGTACATGTACTCCAAACAAGTAACGCCTTCAATTTGCTGTAGAGTTTTCTGCAGGTTGTAACGGTCAAACGTAGTTTCAAGATCACAAAATAAAACAAAAACGCCTATATTTGACATTTATAGTACGGTTGTAGAATTGAAAAAAAATTATGCTGGAATGTAATATAATTTTTATAACCGTAGCCCCTGAAAGAAAAATCGTCGTAAATTAAAATACAGAGGGAAGGCACACTCGGATCACCTGCGCCGCTAGGATACCGAGTGGTCGAGTCAACTCTGGCAAAAAATGCGGTTACAGTGGCTTGACTGGGAAACTCACGTAGTGATGCCTTTTCTTATCCGGGCTATCAAAATTGTAATTTGGTGTTATCAACAGCGATGTTATGAATTTGGGTTTCCGGTTTTCATCGCTAGGCCCGAGGCTGTCTTTTAGTCACAGAGAGAACCACAGAAACGTAATCAACTGGTCCAATAGACAACAGAGGTAGTTCGAACCGTTAGCTGAGATGCTCAATCAAAAGGAAACGTTTGAGTCTAAAGTTCAGTAATGATCAGCATCCGACCGCGCGTCTTTCAGGGATACGATAGTTGAGGTAGATGAGCGTTGCGTGAGAATCTCGGCCGGGTGGTACCTATATCTAGACATCCTCACTTTTGGCTCTCTCGAAAGACCTGGCAGCGATTCACTATCTACAGATTGTATTTGTTTATTGTGCCAGTACAAAGGAATTAACTGGTGCAGTGATGGTTCATTTTCTCTGGGATACATACGGTGCTAGCGCGTTGTTTTAGGATAAGGTCTTTAGGGGAAATCTATAAGGAATCCTTGTCCGGGGACAGTCGAATTCGCCCAGGCCATGGCATGGGATTGACGAGAATGGGCTGAGATATACACATCTTAGTCAGGTACGGTAAAGTTCACTACCTCTGGGATTAGGCTGCCTACAACAGAGCAGTAGGTCCTCGCGACCGAGATACATTCCAACGGTTGACCATACTAATGTGTGTTGTAAAGCAAGAGTCACGAGCAGTTTATGCAATGGTGAGTTACGCGCACAGCTATCGGACAATCTGACGAACTGTCATGCAACGACTGGTCG